AAAAAAAAAAAAAAGAAAGGAAGATGGATCGAGTTGCTGATCGGTATAAAAGGAGAAAAAGGAGGGATGTTCGGCTTGAATCTCGGTTGAAATTGACTGCAGTTTGATGTTGCAGAAAAAATAAGAGAGAGGCGAATATAGTCGATAAGAGGAGCGCACCGTCATTTTGCTTGTAATTAGATGAGATTGTGTTAGTGATGTTTGATAGAGTATGACATATCCGAAAGAAAAGAAAGAGAAAAAGGGAGACATGCGATAACAACACGTGCTTGCAGTCGTAGCTAAGAATTTATCGTTCGATGAAAATTCGACGATATTTTGATCGTATTCCGCATATAATAATTTTTTCTTTTCTTATTTAAAATCTATTGAAAATGATAATTTAAAAATATTACTTTATATATGAAAATATATAATGTAATCAAGAAAATTATAATATAATAATATCTTTAATAAAGATACAGATTAGATATATATATATATAGGAAAAATTGGAATTATCTTTAAAATAACTAAATCTTTAAAAAATTATTAAATATTAATTGAGAATTCTTTAAGATGGATTTACATTTATTATGTATAATCCTTTCAATTATTAAGAACTATCCAATAATGTATATATCGTGTAATACGATACACGATTTAATAATTTTATCCAATATCAGCATATTCCATTAGAAAAGTCCTGACAATGCATCAAGAAATTCTTTCCATGATAGATATGTAAGTGAGTAAAGATGCAATACTACAACGATACTTTCCATCTAAACTGGCTTACAATTGGATGGAAAGTATTATTACTGCACCTTATTATTTCCTTAATATGACGAGGAAAACCTGACAAACGACGGATCGATTCCGTTACGTGTCTTTGAATCTTAATTGTAATAGACAACGATGCATAACGACGCAACATCCATATTGATACTCAATAGCGATATAATAAGAGGATGCGTAACAAATATAGACTTTACGTAATTAAAAATTTTATACAAAGATAAAAAATTAAAATAGGAGAGTATTTATTGTATTTTTATGTATTTTTGTTACAATTTCGTTATTCCATTTACGAATTATTCCATTCACTTATATATTATTTAATAAAATTCTGCAGAAACATACATAACCGGATGACATAAAATCGAATAGTATCCGGTTTTAAACAGGATGTGATACATGTTGCATACTTATCGAGAACATAACAAAATAATAATAATGGATATTACAAGTACTTTATGTTCGGCATTGAAAAGAGTGCTAAGGTATAAGATTACGACTCTATCAATCATTTTCTCTCGTATAGCCATCCTTCTGAAAATTCTAGACCTTGTAACCGGACACGTAGCAGCAATAAATCAAGTTTCAAATGATCGTCAAATCTTAAAACACACTTTCTAATCCTTTAAATTAATAAATT